TATATGTAATTTTGGTTATCAATAAAAATATTATTCCGCAAATTTCTACAATCGGCAGTGTTGGATCTTTTATATTGTCTATTTCATGTAAAAAAGTTTTTTCATAGATAGGTAAACATCTGTATTTCATCTAAAAGGAAATTTTCCTACAGTATATGATAAAATGTTCACATGCATGTATCTGATGAATTATATATATACAAAACAATATTTAATTATGGTACGAAATTAAGAGATATATATGCATTGCTAATGAGGGTTCATCTTTATGGCTGCTTTTGTTGGAAATGTGTTAGGCAAAACGCAAACCAAATCATTAGGAACTCCCAACACTTTGACGCTTTAATCTCATCTCTCACTAAAGAACACTTCGTTTTGCATCATTCTCCATCAATTATAATCTTTCCAAAAAGTGTATATATATATATATATATACTTTCCTTGCGAATAGAGTAAACTAAAATTATTATTATTTTCATTTATTTTTTTTACATGCATGGGTCCTATATAGGAATATTATTCCCCAATGATTTGGACTCTCTCCGCCAATAAAAACCTCAAAATATCTCTCATTTGATTACACAAACTCTATAGGCTTAATTATTATCATTGCATAAAACAAAGAGCAGTGCTCCAACATCATTCACTGTATACATATCACCAAGACCTTTTAACTTTCTCTCGTTTTTCTTCTTTCTTGTTACAAAACAAAATCGTGTTTTCGCCTTTAATCATATAAGGTTATATGAAACGACAAATGTTTAGGAAAGGTTCCCTTTTATGAGGGTGATTATGTTTTGCTAATTCGAGTCTTTTTTTTTACTTAGACCATATATTAATTAGAGATTGTGATATCATGAAATATTTCTTTTTTTATAAAAAAATATTTACATGTATTTTATCGGGTAAATTACTATGTATGCATGTACTTAATTGCTACTCAATGCCTTATAGTTTTATCTACACTGACTATATATGATGGCTTACGTAGAAAAACTTCGTCGGTCAAACCAAGCTTAGTGGGGTTAAGTACAAAGCCCTTTTAACACGTGATTCTAAATTCGGCGAATATATATATGTATATATATATATATACATACATATATATATATATATAGAGAGAGAGAGAGGTGAAGACTATGATAACCTTATTATATTCCTTTTGACCGAAAAGAGTTTACATGAGATTCATGTTTGGAAGATATGTATCGTGAAATAAATAAAGACGACAAGTGGATAATGTATTTACCATTAGAAACAGAAATAAAACAGTCGTCACAAAGAAAATAATCATCGCCACAGCAATTTGCAATTGCAAAACCCCCTCATCTAAATTTTAAACTAATTTATTTGAAAGGTGCAATTATATTTATCGAATTTATTTTCGAAAACTCTTAACAATTCTTGTGATAGAAACATGATAATTACCACCATTGCCGCCTGATCGAATCCTCACTTTAGAACCTAACCTATATGTAATTTTTTGCTTCAAACAAATATACATATGTATGTGCATACATAAGCGTACTTATATGTAATACATTTGTAACAAGTTGATAAATCTCTTGTTAAAATTAATTTATTTGGGACTGATTTTCATGATAAAATTCGATAGAAATTAGTAAACAATTACCAAGAATAATAATGTTTAATATAAAAAAAACTCTAATTGATTAAATGTCGTCTATAAATTATTCATTCGGTGCAATTAATATATATGTTACCTATTGTATTCGATTTTATTGAAGAACTATATTAGAAGAATAATTAATATTTTAATTTGAGGTAAAATTCTATTCAGTTGTAAATCTAAACTTTACAAATCAAAATAACACATGAATTATACCGATATCAAATGGAAGTACGACATAGTATTCTATAGATTTTGTTCAATTTTACGATTCGGTTAGGATTCCATCGCAAACTTTAATTATTGGATTAAACTTAATAGAATCTAACCACATATATATCCATCCCTGCTAGCGTATTGATTTAAAAGTATTTCATACATAATACGGTTTTTATATAGCCTAAAAAATTCTTCTAATATAGTCTATTTTTTAAATTTTATTTCAAGATTTTTAAATTTAATTTTCATATATCATTGGTGTTATCGTTGTTGAAATAGAAACAAAATATGGAGATTTGATATGATTGATAACAATTAAAGGCATAATATCGATTAAGAATAAAATATATATCGTGATAATTATATTTTGCCTTATTTGTTTCTTTCGTATCTTTATTTCCTTGTTTCTTTCAATAATTTTTCCTATAAATGTATGGATTATTTTCATTGTAATGTAACAAGAAGAAGAGATGTAGCAATAAAAGTGTTTCCGTTCTTTTATCTTTTGTTCTTTCTTTCTAATTTAATTTCCGCATTTTATTTTTCAATACTTCTTACATATGAAACCTTCTTTTTGCGCATATATATATATATATATTGATTTTTCTAATCAATATTCAAGTATCAAAGACTTTTCACACAACAAAATAAGAATCTTAATCGGATGGGGTACGAACATATATCCAATATAATTATCCGATATTTTGGGAGATATAGTTGGACCAAAACCCAAGTAAATTTTTGGATTATATAAAAAAACATATCCAATGTGGGCATACAAGGAATTGCTCGAAAATGATATATTCATTCACTTAAAGCATCATACACTTCCATATGATCATACATTTTTGTATGGGCAATTTTACTACCACGTAAAGAAAACCCTGATGTAATTGGGGATATTTACAAGATTCGATTCATGACATATATATAATCTGATGATATCGTATATGTTGTATATAATCTTAAATAAAATGAAATCACATGATAATAAGGATTTATGTGTAGAAAAATAAAATGCGGAAATAGAATAAAACAAATGAAAATAAACAGAATTATTTTATTGGTATATCTCTTATTCTACTTGTAATATTACAATGAAAATAACTCACATATTTATAGTAAAATTAACAAATGAAATAAAAAGAAAATATACATATAACGAAAATAAATACGATTCACAATATTTAACATAATATTATGTTCCTCCAAAATCTATATTTTCCTCCAATCATATATTCATTTCCCTATTTTAACATTTTTTCTCAATATTGATTTTGAAAGAATGCAAAAATCAATCTTGAAAAAATAATGCGATAAAAATCAATATATATTTTAATTGTCTTTTAAAAAATTCATAAACACCAGATTTAGTTCTTTTAGAGAGTAATACCCATTTTCAAATCAATTCGCTTGACTCTGAAGTTCTACCTTTAACTCTTTTTGTCATAACACCTCGCTTAATCTTAGAGTTTTTAGGTTTGACTTCTTTTTGTCATAGCACCTCATTTGATTTTGGATTTTTACTCTTTTTTTGAACGATTTGAATATATGAATATCCAAAACTAAAAAAAAAGATTGAAAATATATATATATAGAGGAGATCGAACCACTATGATACCATATAGAAAAATAAAATACGGAAACAGAATAAAACAAATGAAAATAAACGAAATTACTTTATTACTACATCTCTTCTTCTTTTTCTTCTTGTAATATTACAATAAAAATAACTCACATATTTCTAAAAAAATTAACTAATGAAATAAAAAAATATAGATATAACGAAAATAAATACGATTCACAATATTTAACATAATATTGTGTTCCTCCAAAATCTATATTTTCTTCTAATTACATATTTATTTTTCTATTTTAACACCATGTGGTAGTGGTAGTTAGCTATACCAGGCTTCATTATCGATTGTATAATCTATGTAACAAAGATTATCATAAAGCCATTTTTTGGGAAGCGGCTTCTTCACTTTGCTTCTTTGTATGGTTTCTTTATCTATGCACTCTTTTGGTTAGTGGGAAAAAGAATGAAAAGTGGAGTTGGTGGGAGAATTTTCGTCTCAAACGACTCAAAGACACAGTGAATTGATGAAGATCAAAGTTGATCGGAGTCTGCAGATACATATATACATACACCTCTACATATATATATGTCATATAAATATATAGCTACATATACATATGTGATTGTAGAGATGAGACAGAGGGTTGCTTTTGCTGTATTCGGGAAAAAGAACGCTGTCTCTCTACGAGGAGAGAGAGAGAGAGAGAGAGAGACTCGTTACTCTCTCTTTTGTCCTTCTTGCATTTAATTGAGCATGAAATTCACTGCAACTTGTTTATGTTATCTGGGCTTTTTAGTCATATTATATTGGGATATCTTAGTAAATTAATATTTATGATGATATTTAGCATTGTAAATAAACATTACATTAGACTTCACACTTATGGCAATTTATTTAGCATTGTAAATAAACAATATTATATTAGATAAAAAAAAACTATATATTTTTTTTATTGAAACGTTTGATTTTGTACAAACATATTAATATAATGTTTACATTACAAGACATGAAAATAAAATCCAAGCCTTAAAAATAATATATTACATTGCACTTAATTAATAACTCAAAAGGGTGCATGGAGATTGGATATTTTTGTTCACTATAATTCCAAAGTCTACTTTGGCAGCTTATAAAGTAAAGAGGGAGGGGCATGCATGATAATCTGTATCATATTCATGTGTGAGATGGTCAGTTGGTGCGGCAGCTCAGAAATAATTTGTAACAAAAAAAAGTTTTATTTTTTTTTTTCACATTTATTCCCTAATAATCACCAAATTAAAGGAGGTATCATGAGAATGGTACACTGAAGCTGCCCTGTAACAGTAAACTGAGAGGAGGGTAAAAAAAAGCAGAGAGGGAAAAAAGTTTGGGGAATGCAAAAGCTAACAAAAGCTGCTCCTTTGTCCGAAAAAGAAACCCTTTGGAAAGGAAAAGCAAAAATGATCCAAAACGCCCAAAATAAATTAAACACACACAAAAAAAAAAACAGACATCGCCACAGGTAAACAGAATATCATCAGCATGTAGTAAGTATAAAGGAAAGGAGCCACCTTGTTCTAGTTTCTTATCTTTCTAAATCTCTCTCTCTCTCTCTCTCTCTCTCTCTCTCTCTCTCTCTCTCTCTCTCTTATTCAAATTCAAGTCCGGTTTCCTTTCTGGTGCTTCTCTTCTCTCTCACTTGAACCGATATTTTTCTTCTCGTCGAGTCTTGAACACGAGAAAGGAAGCTCCTTTGTACTCATCTTCTGCTGGGTTTTCAAGATCTTGTCTTGTGTTTAGTCTTGAAAACAAGAAAAGAAAGGGTCCTTTGTACTGATACACGCTCTTGGGTCTTCAAGAGACTGGTGTTTGGGAGTATTGAGCATAAGAAAGGAAGCTCCTTTGAGCTGTTTTGGCACTTGGGTTTATTCTTTGGGGGGTGGTGAATAAAGGGGTGGTGAAAGGAAGAAGCTTTCGGCACATAATCAGAAGCTTTTCAGTGAGTAAAATTAGGGTTTCGAAATCTCTGGTGGGGGTGGGGGTAAGGGTGGGGGGTTCAAGTTATGCGAACGGGAGGTTGTACAATTCAACAGACACTCACTGCAGAGGCTGCTTCTGTGTTGAAGCACTCTCTCAACTTAGCCCGGAGGAGAGGCCATGCTCAGGTCCTGACCATTTCTTTTTCTCTCGATTTGTCAGACTATATCTATCTAGTAGCGTTTACATGATCTTGTCGGTTTGATTTCTGAGATTAACGGAGAAATCTGTGGTGCAGGTCACTCCTCTCCATGTTGCGGCTACTTTGCTCTCATCAAGAACCAGTCTTCTGAGAAGGGCTTGCATCAAATCTCACCCTGGTTTCTCCTCTAACTACCAGTTCCCCCCTTCTCACCATCATCACCCATTTCAGTGCAGAGCACTCGAGCTTTGCTTCAATGTCGCCCTCAACAGGCTTCCGACTGTCCCTGGACCCATGTTCCACGGACAGCCTTCGCTCGCCAACGCTCTCATCGCGGCGCTGAAGAGAGCTCAAGCCCACCAGAGAAGAGGTTGCATCGAACAGCAACAGCAGACGCAGCCCCAGCAGCAGCCGCCATTGTTGACCATCAAGGTCGAGCTTGAACAGCTCGTCATATCCATTCTCGATGACCCGAGTGTCAGTCGGGTCATGAGAGAAGCTGGGTTCTCGAGCACCGCCGTCAAGAACTGCATCGAGGATTGCTCCGTCTCCACCGTTTTCTACGGCTCCTCTGTAGGAGTTTTCTCCTCTCCTTGCTCGCCTTCTTCGAACGACCAACAGATAAACCGGTTTCATCACCAAAACCCTAAGGATGTGTACCAGCCGCTGATAAACCCTAACACTTTCTGGCAAACTCATTTCTCCAGTCTCTCTCCTCAGCAAAACCCACTTGTCAACAAGAAGCACTTCGTCGGGGACTCGCTGAATTGCTTCAGAGAAGACGTGAAGCTGGTCGTTGATGTTCTGCTGAGGAATAAGAAGAGAAACCCAGTGATCGTCGGTGACTCGGTGTCGTTCACCGAAGGGCTTGTCCGGGAGCTAATGTCGAAGATAGAGAGAGGAGACGTCGACCATGGAGATTTGAAGCAGACCCACTTCGTCAAGTTTCAGTTTTCACCGATCGTGCTGAAGTTCATGAGAAGAGAGGACGTGGAGACGAACGTAAGTGAACTGAGGAAGAAAGTCATCTCTCTCACGTCGTGTGGCAAAGGTGTAATTATCTACACAGGTGACCTGAGATGGACAGTAGGCGAAAAAGACAACAACAACAACAATGGCGTCCAGATTTCATCTTCTTCGTCATACAGCCCTTTGGATCATATAGTGGAAGAACTGGGAAGATTAATCGCAGAATATAATAAGAACAACGAAGATGACAACGGTAACATCAACAGTAGTAGCATTATCAGTGGTACTACTAATTCATCGAACAAGACAAGGGTTTGGGTTATGGGAACAGCATCTTACCAGACTTACATGAGATGTCAAATGAGACAGCCTTCGCTCGAGACACTGTGGTCTCTTCAAGCTGTCTCTGTCCCTTCTGGTGGTCTTGGCCTCAGCCTTCATGCAACCAGGTAACTTTTTTTTTTTAATTATTCCTTTTTTCACAACAAGAATCTCATGTGGATTCACGGGTTACTGGTATATTCCTCTTATATTTCGTAAATTTAATGTTTCATATAGGGGACATTAGATCTAGGATTATTTATATTCTTCTTATAGTGTACAAAAAAGTCCAAGATTTGCATGGTAAAGTTGAGAACTTTGCACAAAATCCCGCCGTAAATAATCTATTGTGTTTTACCATAAAGTTTAGAATTTTTTTTAAAAAAAATTCTCACATGGTACGTGTACATGTGTGTGCATACAAACATATCGGTGACCCTGACATAAACTAAATTAAAAAAAAAAAAAAAAATCTTGAAACTTTCTTAAGATTGATTTCGGAGACAGGGTTTAGACAAAAAGAGATTTGTCAGTTTTTTTTTAGAATTTTCGTGGTTATTATATATACATGTAAATGGTCCCTTTTTAGTCTGGCTATTGCCACTGAGCTCCTCAGATTATTGTCTCGTCGAAGCCAAACCATATGCCCAAACACATAGCGTGCATGTCTCTGTGCCCACTACGTAACGTTACGTACGTATAACATATATATATCACATGCTTCTCCTACTTCCAATATTGTTTTGCATGCTAACGAATGATCATCAGTTCGTACGTCATTACTACAAATTATTATGTCTTCCGTGATAGAGATTCATACCACCAGAGTATAT